TTTAGTACTATTTTTAACCAAGATGTATTTAATAAATATAACAACACAATTTATATTAGCATTTGTGAAAATGATAGCATCGTGTAATATCAAATATAACATGGATACACAATCAAAAATAGCATTAAATACTGTTCTCATAGTTCTCACATCAGGACTAGTTTTTATATGGCTCAAATGAGAGTCAATTCTCAATGTGAGAACGGTTAGAAACACTATTTTTACTTACGAGAACTGCTATGATTAATTTTTATTTTTTTATTGAAAGTAACGCAATTTATATTTATATGTGTGAAAATGATAGCACCATGCAATATGAAAAATAGCATTATAGAAAATTAAAATAACATCGAATGTGGTTCTCACAATTCTTACACCAAAATAAGTTTCTTTTTTGGACTTGCCCCGTACACTACAAAAAAAACTCTTAATATTTTCCGTTGCAATAGCTATTCCAACGAATATTCGTATGTATAAAAATTTGTGGGAAAAACGGCCGCTGGAATAGCTAAAATCCAAATGGAAATAAATTCATGCAGCTATTCCAACGGAAATAATCCGTTGGAATTCTTCAACCATTCCAACACTTATTGTAACATAAAATTAAGTTTGTTGGAATATTCATTGAAATTTCCAACGGAAATTTTTGCCGTCGGATTTTTTTGTTGGAATTGAAGTATTTTCTTGTAGTGGTATATATAAGTAGCATGTACAACATGAATAAAATTATACAAATTGCTAATTTCAAATTCTCCGAAATTTAATTTTGCACATAATTAGATCATTGTTCAAATATTCTTAATTACATATCATCTTGATAATAGAATTTTTCAGAACTTCAAATTTGAACAAATCAAGAGAAATGTCGCACTTGCGTGGAAAATTTGTTCACAGTTGGAACATTACACGTTAACTTGCATGACTCTTTAATTGGCCGGTTATTGTGACATCGGGCAATGGATTGATAATTGTATTGCAATACCTTATTTGACTAGTTTAAACAGTAATTTATACATAAAATTTGAAATATTATGTTATATTATTAATTTTTTTTTTTCAAAACGATAGAAAATGTTATATTATTTTATGACTAAATTATTTTATGAATCATCTTCACCAAAAATGATCATACATTGAGTTTTTATTTATTTTTTTATTTTTTATTTTTTAAATTGGAGTTTGGAGACCAAAAATCTAATCAAATAATTTTTTTAACAAAAAATTAATAAGCAAATTTGACTGGTTATAGCTCTAAATGAGGTTAAATCTGCTAGCATCCAGACGAGTCAGCATATTATACATTTTTTAAAATAAAATCTTTCACAATATTTAAGATAAGATTATAATTGAATTATTTATAAGCGAGTGATAATAAGAAAAAAGTGAAATTTACAAATAAATAATAAAATTAAAATACAAATCAAATTTTTATATTTTGTAAAAACATATTTGTAATTGAGAAAAAATATAAATGTACAAATTAAAAGGACTTGTATGGGATAGGCTTGGAGGGGAGAACGTGTGGGGACTTTACTGGGCCTCCACGAATTGATTGAAGGACCTAAATATGTTGGGTGTTAGTGGTGCTTTACTGGGCCTCCACTAATTGAGAAGGACCTGCATATGTTGGGTTTTAGTGGTCCCATGAATAATTTAGGGGAAATTTTGATGCCTCCTACAAGATTTAGAATTAATTGCAACAATATAACCTCAAATAAAATAATTATATC